TCAAAATAAAGAAAATTAGATTTATTAATACAATTTAATTTAATTTTGTTTAATCACAAATAAAATGTCAAATGTACGTAAATGCGCACATTGTCTCTCAAAAATTACTGGCATTTTAGACTTTAAGGAAAAATCTTGTAAATTCGACAACATAATTTTTTCATGTAAAGCTGGACAATCGGGAACCATTTTTGCCGATTCTTAGCGGTCGAATCCATTCTCCATCGATTACACTTATGAGTTTCTCCGAATTCTGATTTTTGAATAATCATCTCTTTTCACCTTAGAATGGATTAAAACTCATATCGGCTCCTGTGTGATTTTAGAATTTCAAATTGGAACTCAATTCAAAAGCTTTGTTTTTCTTATTGCTATTCATCTTTACTCCTGATAATACACGAGAACGATTGAAACGACCCAGATAAAATACTTTTGTTATTAAACATCAGAGGATGAGCATCCAGTAAAAGTGCGAACACACAGTTCACAAAACTTATTGCAAAAACGCAAAGAATCCTTCACGCGCACGTATAGGACGACCTAGACTTTTGAAGCAATCAAAAATTAATAAAAACTTCGTATTTATGTGAGTAAATACGGTACTTCGCTTACTGGCCCAACAAGAGGATCAATACTTCAAATTTTTATTGCATAATTCTTCAAAGTACTTTCTCCAGCATTGCAGTATAGTGGGTGGATTTGGCAACGGTTGTCAATTGGCAAATATGTTTTCTATTAAAGCTCCAATACCTTCTGTAGCTCTGGTGACAAGATTTAGGCGAAGGGTTAACATTGTTATCGCCTTTTGGACTTTCTAGTTTATCGTACAAATTTTGGGAATTGCTAGTTTTGCCCAAGTAACCAAGGTTTTTGTTGATAACCTAGCTATTTTGAATTTCATTCTGCCTCATTTCAGCTTTGTGTTTTAGTAGGTCTTCAAAGCTGATTTCTTTTCTTTCATAGCTTGTTTAACTTTGTCACTCCACCGTCATGTTCGTTTATCAATAAATCGTTTTGCAGGCTTTGTTTTTCCAAGGATTTTTAACGTTGCTCTGTGTACCTCATCTGTAATTTCAGTTCAAATGCTGAATATTGGATTGTTAATGGGTATTTGAGATTTGCTGAACTTTCCTGTCATTTCATTCTTTCAATGTTTTAGCTTTGAATATTTGATTTGCTAAGGATTTGTTTTCGGAGCATGGCATATTTTAGAATAGTTAATTTTCATCTGTAAAATAAGCAATTCATTGAATTTCTTAGAGGGAATTTTTTTAAAATAAGCAATTGTGTCTGAGAGCAATGCTATCACACGGAATTACTTCGGCATCAGCTACCAATTTCAGATCACTTTTTCGATCATCCAGTAGTCGATTTCAATTGAACGTCCACAACTGATGTAAGGTGCGTGGATGAATCTCTTCTTAAAAAGATTTTGAGAATGGCCAAAGTGTGCACTTTAGCATAATCTAATATGAGGCAGCCATCATCGTTTCATTTTTTAAATCTTTTGCCATCGTGGCACAATTTATATCTGTCTTTTAATTTTGAAACATGTTAATTTAGATTACTCTGGACGAATGAGGTAAGTTTTTCTTTATACTTGAAAGACACCAATGATAATATGCTCCAAAAATAAAGATGAGAAAATCTGGAATTATAGACTTAACAATTTTGGCTCGCACACTTTTAAATATTAACTAACTCAGCCTAGAAACAAAGCGATCGGAAATTCAGTCGTAGTACCAAGCCTAGTGATATCCTCTCAGATAGTCTGCTGCCGTAGATGTAAAATTTTATTTTAATTAAATAACATTAACTATATTCTATTCTATTCTATTTAGATAATTTATTCTATGTACTTTTCGTTTAAATATTTTCACGTAAATATAATTTTACAAAGTTGCTATAAATTATCTTTTATTTTATGTGTATTTGTTCTAGAAACCATTTGATTAGTTTTGTGAACACAATAACATAGACTTTGTTATATAGTTAACGAATATAAGCGTTCATAACGAAACAGACACTAGCATATTTAAAAGCATTCAATTCAAATATAAATTTGTTTCGTTTTATTAGCTATAAATCGGTTATGTTGTGACCTATAAATTGCTTTATTTGAAATTTTATTCTATTTTGTGCGATTAAAAACAAGAGTTATCCGGGAGAGTCACGGGAAAATTAAAGGATATTTTCACCTTAAATATACATTTTAATGATCTGGTCCGTGGAAAGTGTAGAAGGAAAATATTTTTTATCCGATCGGAAGAAAACACAAGGATCTGAAAAATTATCTTTTCCGGAACTCAACATTCCGAAAAAGTTCTCGGAATGACAGAATCGAAAGCTTAATTTAAGTCATTCTGGACCACAAATCCCAGCTATTTAAACTGTAAATATTTCGAAATAGTAAATTGCATGACCACTATATCTACTGTGTATCACTAATGTGTAACATAATATTTTTTTTATTATATAATCCAAGATTAATTATAAATCTACCCACTAATGATCTATAGATCCATGTAATCGTTAATTTTTATTATTATTATGCTTTTCATGAAATGTATAAAGTAATATATAACGAGATAAATTAAATTGAGTTATATTTTTTTATTTTTAAAGCGATGTACAGAAGACGTATCGAAGAGCATTCATTCCTTGAAAGATGTGAAGGTGAGATTAAATTTGAGGTCTTGTAGTGAAACGTTACATGAAGAAACAACAGTGGATCAAGATATATTAAACGCTGCCGAAACTCTTCTCCACATGAGAAGAAGGAGATTGGAGACAGACAAAGAAAATACTTCAGATTCGGATAAACCATCAACTTCAAAACAATTCATGAGTAATAAATAACAAATACTGAATACTTCATTTAACTTTTAAAAATCCTTTTTCGCCTTATTCAAATTCAAGGTTGTTGCTTTAAAAGTGAACAAAATAGCTTCTTCAAAATTTAACATTTATAACAAATTTTTAATTTGTATAATATCTGAAAAATTTTCGAATTAAAAAGCATTAAGTACGTAGTAGGCGGCGCTTGAACGGTTTTGTCTGTGTCATATTTGCACGAACGTGTATAATAATCGCGTGGTATTTCAAGTATTTTAAAGATTTCAACTGTAGGAAGTTGTAAATTTCATTTTAAAAGAAGGTTATTGTAAACTTACATATATTTTATTCTGTAAAACTAATTATTTTATTTTAATTAAAAAATACCTATGTAATTTTTTTGCAACTTAATTTTATTCCAGTCAAATTTCCATATATGCAGGGGTTAAGTATATAGTAGAAAAAATCATGTTTAAACATAGTTTTGTGGGGCTGCTAATTTGTGTGGGCCTTGGGCACCGGCCCCAAATGCCCTTATGTAAATCCGGCGCTGGCACTGATTCCCTAAAACACAAACATCCTTATTAAATTTACCGGCCCGCAGGCCGGTAAATTTAGTGGCCAAGTGGTCTTCGTTCCTTGAATACTGGTAGTTCGGTTGTGGGTTCGCGCCTCGCTCGGACTGGCTGCGTGGCGTTTTCTGGGTTTTCTCCAGCATCTGTGACGCCTAAATAGGTGCCAATATCCTTTATAAAAATTTCTCGAAGGCATACCCTAGGCAGATCGCCCAAGGGTGTCGCGTTGACATAACTAAAACAAACAAAATCAAACCTTACCAGATTTCAGAAATTTTCGACAGAAGACATAAGCGTTATTATGCTTCCAAATACGTAAACAAAATCGTTCCCTCCACATACACAAACAAAATCCATACGTACAGAAAATTTCTTTATTTTTTTTGCGTTTCTCGGCGTTAGAAGGTCCCCTAAATACAAAAATGTGAAAATATTCTGGTATTATTTTGTCGTATTTTTCCTCTATTATGTATAACAGCCGGTAAAGTAACAGACTGTAATTGATGTCTTTATTATATATAAAAATTAAAACTATATAGGTAAAATACATAACAACACCTTGGAGAATACTTCGACATATCTTAATTTGCGATATAGCTCTGTGTAACAGAAGAGCAAATCAACTATATCATTTCCATCTGGAGAGGTACAATACATGCAATGAATCTAACAGTTTTTAGTCACTTGATAACATCTGTAGATAGATTGTATAACGTTGTGTGAATGCGCCTCATTTACACAGCTAATTTTGTTCACAGACAAAGCCAATTTCATGAGGGAAGATAATATGTTTGAAATAGCGACAATTTGGATGGAGAAAACTCACATACTACGCATTCCCTTAGATTCCAAGAAAGATTCGTTATCACGCTAGTCGTTTGATTGGGCCATATCTTTTTCCAAGAAGTATGGACAGCATTGATACCAAAGATTAATCAAACTCCATCTAAGAGGTCACAATTACTTACGAGCGCAATGCTGCGCGGTAAGCGGAAATTTCTATATGTTTTCGATAGAATAATAAGAGTAATATCTTTTGACCTGTTAGATTGGGGTACTGTCAGACTGACTGGAAGTGCTATCAAATTTATTGAAAGATGTGCCAATTCGAATAACAATAGAGTTTTATTTTTGAGACACTTGCAGAGACGGATGAAGTTCTATTTGCAGGAATTATGGTTGAAACACAAGAAATGTTAAAAACACGACATGTTTTTTTGAGCGTATGTACCGGAAAAGATGCAATATAAAGTATATAGATTAATCTTAAAATCTGTACTTCCTAATATTTGGATGAAACGAAAGATTAAGATAAATGTTACTTTTGTTTTTTTTTTTTTAAATCCTTTCAGAGTAAATGATATAAATTTATCTTCATTGGCACGAAAACTCGGAAGTGACGTCACTGAACTTTAAACCTCTCTACTGCTTAATTAAGACCTTATTCGAGAAATGATATTAAACACTTCTATCTTACTTTTTTTTTTTAAATGAAATTCATTCTATATGTTAGTAAAGGGAATTCAGAAGCATTCTGCCTTACAGTATTAGACGTTGCATAAAAAATTTCAAAAAACGATCAATAGCGACAATATATTGAGTTTCAGGAGTGCATTGTAAAAATCCAAGGAAAATTTTCAGTTAAATTTTGTTATTTATTTATATGTTTGTTTTTCTGTTAAATGCAAGAAGAGTTTAAAGTATTAATAGATAACAGAAGCACGTATAACTATGCCCTATCAAGTAAGTTAACGAATTTTTAGTACAAAGGTAAGAATTAATTGTTTATGAAGAGAGATTGGTCGGTGATGATGTGATCGGACTTGAGCTACTGGGCTACTTATGCAGAGTAAAAAATCTCTAATTTAGCGTCCCCGGATGATTTGACGTGAATACGCAAAGGGCCCCGGCTCTTCAGTAAGGGACGAAGTTCTTGTACTAAAGTAGAAAATAATGTTTAAATTTTATCTTTATTAGAAGAATAAAAATATTGTCAGAATAAATTTTCACCACCTTTTTTTCATGAATAGTATTTCGCTGTATTCCGCTGATTCAGCTGAAAAATTGTCAAAAAGTCATTAAAAAACGAATTCGTCTACAGTTGAAATGTTTCAATAAATAAATGTTTCAATTATAAACACTGTTGCCGCAATGAAATTTCAAAAAGTACTGAAGCGCCTTCAAAAAATGTACTATTTTCCTTCAAAATGTACTAGTTCTATGAATACTTTGTTTACATGCCTATATATATATATATATATATATAGGCACGTAATATATATAGTTTATTGTCAAATAATTTAATTTAAAATTTTATTTTTGGAATTTTTTTAAAGCTATTTATAAATATCTACACATCTATTAGTTATTATAAAATGAGCATTGCATTGACAACATTTATTAATAATACTATTGAATTTCATCTTAATTTTATAACCAATCGTGCTTTAAAAAATAATTATAAATTTGTTATATTATATTATTATATTCTTGTTTGCTTAAAACATGCGACTCAAAAAAACAACCCAAAATGGCGGCTCAAGAAGTAGATCACGCGTTTTGTCCTTCTTATTTAGACCTTGGAACAGTCGGAAGCGCGGCCATTTTGGAACCACACGTAACATTAACCGTTATTTCTTTTACTATGATTACTAAAATTGAAGTTCATAATTTAAGAATTAAATTACAGTGGTAGAAAATAATATAAAAGTATTTATATTATTTATACTCGTAAAATTTCAAAACTATTTTCTGTAATAATTTGATTCTGACTTAACGGATATTTTGATATTATTGACGACAAAAGTTTAAAATCATCGATTTCCTTACCTGTCCATTATTTTTTTTGACGGAGTTGAATTGTTTGGACCACGTGGCATGAAAAATTTTGTCAAGGTCCTGATGAGAATGTGCAGACAACTGAACTTGTGAAAGAAGACTACTGAGTCAAGACCCTGCAACTATCTATCTTGTGATTGGATAATTTAAATTAGCAAGCAGTGATACTAGTGAGACTTTATTAAACTCATTTTTCTCATTTTTTCGTTAAGGCATGAAATACAGTATTATTTTGTACCGTAAATGGTATTTGAAATATTATAATGTACTGAAAATGTACTAAAAATCTAAATGTACTTTCAATTTACTGGAAAGGGCAAAATGTACCAAAAAAGTACAAATGTACTAGGAACGGCAACACTGATTATAAAAAAAGAAAAAGAAACTTGCAGTTGATCATTTAGTTTACATTGCCACAAAGCATTGTGGCAAGTAACTCAATCTACAGCCGATCCCATATAACAATATGGAATCGGCTGTAGATTGAGTTTTTTGTTTTATTGTTTTAGACATTAAGATTTAGTATAAATTTGCATTTAACACAAACTTATCATACAGGAACTTTTCGGGCAAATAGTAAAAGATAGAGTTTGTTGATTACAGAATATGCATTTCAGCAGTTACATCCCTCATCTGTTTTGATTTACAAATACAGTATGTGGTAATATAAGTATTACATCATTATACGACGTTTTACATTCTTTAATCTAAATACAGTAGAGCGTCGATTATCCAATAGTCAATCATCCGAAACGTCAATCATCCGAAAGAATTCCAGTCTGCAAAAAATAAATTTTCGCCAGTGCTGTGGCGCTGCAATCTTTGGCTATGTCTTGGGCTACTCAAATAATTTACGTTTTTGATACTAAATTAACTTCTAAAGTATAATTTTTTATTGTTTTTATATTTTTCAATACATTTATTTTGCTTATACAAAATAAAAAAATAATTTTTAACGATACAATAGTCTTCGTTAGGCTTAACATCGACGAAATTCAACGCGAAGCGACACGCAACGGAGAAAAAAGTCAAGATGGGATAAACTAATATATTTTTTCGTACATAATCAGTTATCCGAAACATCGATCTTCCGAACAACCCCAGTCCCTAATTGATTCGGATAACAGACGCTCTACTGTATATAAAATTACTTGTCCTGACTGACTGACTGACTCACTGATTCATCATCGCCCGGAGAATACCGCTAAAGCTAAAAAGGTGAAATTTTGTACATAGTAAGGGTCATGAAAATACACACTAAGAAGGGATTTTTCGAAATTTTCCCGCGGGGGTAGAGGGAGAGCATTAAGGCTTAACCGGAAAAACAGTTTCTACTGTACTATTTTAGATGCGATTTTTGTTTTCAACTACTTTTAATCTTCGTTGAGTACTTAGCTGTATTAAATCGATAACATTTCAGACATTGTTATAAATATTTCCATATACAGCATTTCGATTTTTAACCAAATGTTCGAACCGTTTTAAATTCGAATTTGTTATTGCATATTGGTTCGATTATAGAACGATTGATCAAAACGACGTTCCAGAAAATTGATCAAATTGAAAACAGTTAGTTTTATTCTCGGCAATTCTCATCATTTTCAGCGATAGGTGTTATATATCAATTACTATGGTTGTTGAAATACCGAATAAAAATGGGGTTTGCTTGCAAAACCACCGTGAGCGAAGTCGCGGGTAACAGCTATTCGTTTATATAAAATTTATTACAATTAATTATCACCTAATGAATATGAAGAGTTTTGTTGTAGCTCTTATACAATATGAAATTAAGTTATTCACAAGACAGAGCCTATCGGTGGCCGAAAAGATAAAACCACTGAACGCTGTTAGTCAAACGTGGCTATGTGTCTTGTCAAAGGAATGGCCCCGTGATGTTTTACGGGTTTCTTCGTGTTTCTAACGCCTAACTAAAGGCCAGTTTCATAAAAGGTCTTTCAGGGACATTCCTCTCCTCATGTCACCTAGACGTGCGTTACCATTTACAAATAAAACGAAACAAATTAAAAGTCAGACTTACCAGTTTGGATTTTACGAGAAGTGTTAAATTAATCTAAAGTTTAAATTTACTAAATTTTGTAAAAATGAGAAACCAACAATGTACTACTATAATGTCAGATTAAATAATTGTTGCACGCCTATTAGCAAAAGAGTAGGAAATAGATGAAAGTATTTCTTCGTAATTGTAAAAAGTATTCGAAAAAAACTTTGAGGGTCTCCTTCTGCAATTACTTTTCTAAATTATTCTGTAAATACCCCTAGACATATATAACTTCTAAGAATTGTACAAAAAGAATTTTTATCAACTTACTTGATAAAAGGCATTGAATGTTCTGTAAAATAAACTAAAGTGTTTAATTTTATTTATATCATATTACACTACTTACAATTATCACGAAAATTTTAAAAGGTTCACCTGAATGAAGGCCTTGTGTTCGTATTGGATTTTTCACTACTTTATCTATTTTTAAAAAATTTTATAAGCTAAAGTAATAAAATAGCAAAAATTCATCCATGTGTCCTGTTAATAGAAATATGTAGTTATGAATGAAATGATATTTGAATAAATTAAGGACATTGAGGCATATTAATTTAATGAACAATAATAATATGAGATTCTGATTTTCATAAAATGTTAGATGTGAAAAAATGACATATAAATTTTGTATCGTACCTTCATTATGTACCAAACTTTTCATCGAATAATTATGAGAATTAAATTATTTAAATATAGACATTTTACAGTGTTTTTACATTTAAGGTATACCGTAACAGAATTCAATTACTAAAAATTTAATTTTGATTTAGTTATGAAATACCAACAAAACTTTTGAATTGTTGACAATCTTTTGATATCTGTCCAGAATTAATTATTTAGAGTGATGAAAGTTTCTTTCATGTTCTTTTTTAGAAATTTTGTCAGAAAATTGTTCTTTACACAATTGACATTCGAATTTATTTTGTTCTGTTTCCATTTCTGAGAAGAGTTCGACTTGTGAAGATGATTCCATACTCATTATTCTGAATCGATTTCTGAATCGATGTTAAAATCTTCAAAGAACTCATCAGCTTCTCTCGACATAAAGATACTATCTTATTTACAAATCTTTTCAAAATAGACAGTTTGACCGGGCCCTTCAAAAACCGGGCCCTAGACATTTGTCTCATTTGTCTATGCGATGATCCGGCCCTGGTTATCCGTAAAATATAACTTTCTTTAAAAATCAGAAAAAAAATTTCTAATCGCCTAACTTTATCTATGTTTCAATTTGCTTAATACAGTTTTCATAGAAAACGTTTCTTTTTTTATTTAACGGATGCTGTCAAAAAACCCTAAAATGCAACAGCCAACAGTCTCCTATTTTAAGACACTCCCGTAACGCTTATATAGCACTCTAATTTAGAGCATACTCTATGTTTTTGCGTTCAACACTTTAATAAATTCATTTTATTTAATTTATACATCATAACTTTATGGAAATATTTAGAAAATAATTTATGAAATTAATTCGAAACGAAGCCTTCAATGCATTTTCTTTCTGTATAAATTTCACAATTACTAAGAAATATTTTAAGCCGGTTTTCGTTTTGTTTTTTTTAAACTCACAAATAAACATAATATATCAATCTGACAGAACAATTGCGAAATTTTACATTATTGGAATGCATTATTAATTTCTCATTCTTTCGAAATTTACAAACTAAATTTTAAAATTTGGATTATTGTTTTTTAAATGAAATCAGAAAACGTAAGTAAAAAGCTGAATTTGTTTTAGACATTGTTAATATTTGTCGATTCCATCAATTCGAAATTGTTGAAATTTTAATTCTTATCGAAAGTGTAAAAAATTTACTATACATTTTGATATAAATAGAAAATATTTTTGAAAAAATTAATGACTAACTTAATAATTTTTAATTTTCAAACGAATATTTTTTTAAAAGGATGAAGAAAAGAAACATGAATGCACAATATGTAAAAACATGAGGGTTCATACTCGAGAAAAACCGTATGTTTGCGATATTTGCGAAAAACGATTCTCCCAGGATGGAAGTTTAAGAACACATAAAAGAATACATTCGAAAGAACGACCATTTAAATGCAAAGTCTGCGGATACGATGCGAAAACGAAACATAGCTTGATAAATCATGTCAAACGACTACATCCACACGCAAATGCTTCTGAAATCATGATTGTAAGAATTATCTTTATGTTTATTTTGTATTTAAGTCGATAACAAATTTATTAAATGAAAATACAACATATAATTATTATAGATGAAACTTGTAATTTACAGTGAAATATCAAAAATATACTTGTTATATCTCATACGTAAAAATCGTTATTATTATTTATCAAATAACTTATTTTTTAATAAGCGTCGAAAAAACTTATATACAAAATAAAATGAATTTACAAGATATATATATTTTTTAAATACTAATATTTTTTATGTTTTTTTACTGTGTTATAAATGACTAATGTAACTTATTGATCATATGATACTTAGATTCCACCAAGACAATTGATAAGAAAATATCATAAATGTGATAAATGCAATAAAAGTTTTCGTTGGTTATCCGCTTTATCGAAGCACCTGACATCTCATAAAAAAGAACGACCGTTTATATGTGATATTTGTAAGAAAACTTTCAAATATAAACATCATTTAAGTAGACACATAAAAGGAGTACATGCACAGGAACAAACCGAATCTTTTTCCAAAGTACGTAAACAAATTCTCTGAAATATCTTTTAAAAATTACTTGAATATTATAATGGAAGAAAGACTATTCCGCTTGTAAAAGATTTGTAAAATTGCTTATCGAATTTTGTTTATGTGACTTTATTATTACATGATTACTGTAAATAATTTTATTGTGTAATCTTCATTCATAATATAACACAGCATTGTTCATGTAAAGTCAAGTATTAACACAATACAAATGTAAAGTCAAGTATTAACACAATACAAAAACTAATAATTATAAGTTCGTAACTTGAGTTATTTGATAATCAGCATCAGCCTTTATATACCTCTATTATTAAGTACAGTAATTTCAAATTAATATAATTTAAATTAGAGTACATTTTTAAATATTAAATTATTAATTAATGGAATATGTGATGATTTTAACTTTATATTGGCATTGTCTGTATTTTGTTTTTAAATAGCAAGCTAAATTTTCAGTAAAATCGAAAAGATAAGATTTCGATCTCTATAGATTTCAATAAACTATGTCTATAGAAAAAGTATTCATGAGAAATTAAATTTTGCCAATTATTTATGATAAAAATAACCGTAATAATTGTTTCGAAATATGTTTTTCTTTAATAAGTTTATTTTTCAGAAACATTTTACTTTAATTACTGAAATGTTTATTACAGAACTTTAGTACATGATTGGTTATTGCTCTGTTTTTTGTTCTGTGTTCTTCAGAATTAAGTACACATTTGCTACGATAAATATCATATAAAAATAATTTAAACGATGGAAAAAGTAAATTTCATTTTTTTGTATGTTAGTTAAATTTTAAATAGCAGTATGTTTAAATCATTTAGGTAAAGAACAAACATAAAACCAATAGATAAATACTAAAATAGTGTGATGTGTGAAAATAAGGAATCGATACCTAAATCATATATCACTATTTAATTTAATAGTTTACTGAAGTGTGATTAAAACATATTTTAAAATATAGTGTCTCATAACGGTTAACAGCCTAGCTTGCCTAATTTAGTAGTAGCGTCGGTTTTGTAAATGGGCATGCATGCAAAACAATATTTATAACTTGTTAAATTTTTTTAAAAATTTACAAATAAAAGAGATAAAAATATGAAAAGATTAAAATAAAAACAACAAATATTGGCTAAAAACAAGAAATAAAGTACTTCACACACAATTAGCCTACCTGAAAAACTGTACGTTTTTCAGGTAGGCTAATTGTTATACGTTGCAGTGAGTTAATTATATCAATTTACCCGATAGTTCAGGCAGTTAGATTAATTAACATAATAGAATTCCAGCGTAATATTTATAACATTTACTTTCAGGAAAGCCCACAACTTGGTCATGAAATGCTGTCAGATTATTTTCAAACACCATCAACCAGTTCTCAAGCAAAAGAATCAATTGAATCTGAAGAAGATTTTCCAGAAAGTATTTTCACAGCAAGAGAAGCCGAAGAATTTCTTGAAACTTTTAACATAAATTTAGAAATTAAAAAGTTCGAAACATCTTCACAACTGAAATTCTTCTCAGAGATGGATACTGATAAAAGTAATTTCGAATGTCAATATTGTGGACAACAATTCACTGACGAAATTTCTTTAAATGAACACAAAGAACAATTCCATCAATCTAATTAATTTTGGACTTTTAAACGATGTGAATTTAAAAAGATATTGAATTTTATTAAAATTTTCAGAGTTCATGTTCTAATTAAAATTAAATTTTTAGTAAAACAATTTTTTACCGTATATTTTTAATAAAAACACTGCAAAAGTTTTTATATATAAATTAATGTATTCTAATAATTATTTGAAAAAGTGCTGTACAATTATGATTTAATGCTTTTTGTACGAAACAAAATTTCAAAAGTTACACTTTCTCGTTTTGTTTAATGATCGAATTGACTATTAAAACATTTTATAAACTTATATTCGTGAAAATCAACTAGCTAAAATGATAATTTTTGTCGTTTTTAAACACCATATAATTCAGACACATGAACACTAAGCAATCTTCATTTTAAATTTATTCAATTTTTAGTTCGTATGTATTATATAATTTTAGTTGGCTGAGGAGGCCCTACATAAACCCGAAAAGTGTACAAAAAAACAGGTGCATGTATCAACTAAAAAATGAATACATTTAAACTGAAGATTGCTTAGTGTTCGTGTGTCTGAACTATGTGGTGTTCAAACACGATAAAATTTAATTGCTGTAAATCTACTTTTTAATACTTACGCAAGAAATTGAGCTTAAAGAAGAATTTATGTATAAAGAGTAAATGCTTAAAAAGAGAATGCTAAAAGTAAAGAAAACTTTTGTATTTGAACAATGTAACACGATCGGCCTTGTGGTACCCCACATTTAGAATACGGCAAAAACTCTTCAAAAATATTTTTAAATAGCGATCATCTGTTTTCATATTCTTCAAAAGTTTACCCTGTACAGTTTAGTTTAAAAGAATTACTGAATTTTAAATATTATTTTATCATAAGGCTCAGTAGAGGCAAGCCGTCAAGTAAGCGAGCAAACGAACGAACGGCTTAACAAAGCAAATCTTATTATCTTTTTATTAAAAAAACTAAAGACAACAACCAGATAAAATAGGAGTAGACTATCTTAGTCATCTGCTTTTTTTCGATTTAATTACAAATTTTATCGAGTTCCGTTCATTCCTCCCAGAGATATTAATTTTTATCCACATTTTTCATTTCGCTTAAAAATTCTTTGTTACTCCTCCAGTCAAAATGTTACATTTCGCGAATTGTCCGTCATTATAAACGTTATTTAAATTTAAGTTTTAATTAATCATACATTTAATTTGTTTTAGAATTTAAAGAAACTCAATACTGTGCTATTTAAGAATTAAATTAAATTAGATTAATATATTAATATTAAGTTGGGTTTTAGGTCCGACACCACTCGCCTAGGGTGTCGACCTTACGGTTATATAAACATACTTGAATTTTAGTAATATAAGTATATAAAATTTTTAGAGATAGTTACGTCTTTTTGATTTTCACGAAAAATTAAATGTGAAAGAACAACATTTATATATTTTTTTTCGTACCGATAATATGTAAAGAATTTTTTATGAAATAATTATTAAAATAAATTAATCTCAACGTAAACTTTTTACAGTATTTTTACATATAAATTTACTCTAAGAATAATTTTTCGATAATTCAATTTTGATTCCATTATAAAATACAAAACATTCGCAATCTTCCGATATTTGTCAAAATTAATTAAAGTAATGAATGTTTCTTTCGTGTTCTTTTACAGAAATTTCATCAGAAAATTGTTCTTTACAGAATTGACATTCAAATTTATTTTCTTCTGTTTCTATTTGTGAGAAGAGTTCCATTTGTGAGGATGGTTCCATTTGCATAATTTCTGAATCGATGTTAAAGTGTTCAAGGAATTCTTCAGCTTCTCTTGGTGTAAAAATAGTTTCTCTTGGAGCAACTGCTTCCAGTCCAGTTAACCCTGTTGACTGAGCACTTGTTGATGGTGTTTGTAACGATTCAGCCTTCACTTGTTCAGCATGATGAATGTTATCCTAAAGGTAAAAATTATAAACAGTATGATCGCATTTAAGAAATTAAAATATAATTTGTGATAATTAACTTTTATGATAATTGAGATTAAAATTTCTACAATATTTAAAATTTTTACGATATTCCTGTACAGCTTTGAAAAGTATCCGCATCATTAATTAATATTTTTTGCAATTACGATGTTCGTGCGGCGTTTTATTGAAAACAGCGATATAATGCTTAACTAATTGAACGATTGATACAAATAACGAGATTTTTCGTACATTTTAAAAAATGTTACAAATTTGCGTAGTTTTTCTTTAAAAGTTATACAAATTTTGTAATTTTTAATATAAAAAAAAGTTAATAGTATAATTTTAATTATTTCTCATTTATAACGTTGATAGCCCAATGACATGATGCTGAGGCTTTTAAATATAATGGCCTAAGGGACGACTACACGTTTGGTAAAGTTAAGTGATGAAGATTGTTATTTCATTTCTTACAATATTTTATAAAATTACAGATATTTAACTTTATTTCTTTTATAAGTTTGTTAAATTTTTTTATATTTCAGTAACTAAATTATGTGAGTTTCTATTATTCAGTTATAAATATTACGTTTTTAAATCGAAATAACGTGACTTCCGTTGCAAACTGGAAGTGTCTATATAGTTAATGTTGGCTAACTGTACGCTTTCGGCACCTGGTCTCGACTTTCATCTATTTAACTCGTTTCTCCAGATTAAGAAATGACAGACAACAGTCAGACATAGGATGACAGTCGAAATTTATTAGTCTACAATTTTTTTCAAATTGCAGCTCAATAATTTTTCTGTAAACGCAATATTTATGAGAACATAATTCCCGCATCGTTTATATAATCTATTTTTAAACAATTTAATATCACATATAAACAATTATTCTTGCATTTACACAAGATTTTTTTAAACAAATTTTATATGAAGACTAGCAACTTTCATTACATGCGGGGCCGTCACAATCCGTCTACCACGGATCACTTTGAAATATTAATAATATACGAGTATTAATTATATTAATTAGTAGTCGTTGAGCATCATCTCTTCCGGGAAGAGGTCAACAACAACTTTTGGTCGAATTACTTCAATCCCATTCCGCAACTGTCCCTTTTTCCTATCTGTTCCAGCGATATGGTGGCATTTCAATAGGGAAATTACATAATACAATGTTATCGGCGAGCACAACATATGATTAAAGTGGTTTTCGAAGGTGACCAATTTAAATGTTTTCTCTGTTTTTGTCTGAAATTTAATTGATCGGCAAATTACCCTTTTATGTTTGACTGCGAATGGTACAGTGTCTTAGAATTAAGGTTTTCAGATATAATATTTTCTAATGTTAAGACATATTTTCAATTTTTATATGTTTCATCACAGACTATTTGCCATTTTTTACAATCTGAGTTTTGCGTAAAGCTGACAATGGTAGGCCGAAATAACCAAACTCTTTACAGAGCAGTCGTTTTAATGTTTGTTATATTATTGTATTTTATTTAAATAACTACGAAGGTAATCTTACGTAAGGGTTTATCACATCGAGTATTTCTGAGATGAGTTCCATTTGTGAGGATGTTTCCATTTGCATAAATTCTGAATCTATGTTAAAGTGTTCAAGGAATTCTTCTACTTCTCTTGGTGTAAAAATAGTTTCTCTTGAAGCAACTGCTTCCAGTTCAATTAAACCTGTTGCTTGAGCACTTGTTGATGGTGTTTGAAACGATTCAGCCTGCACTTGTTCAGCATGTTGTATGCTATTCTATAGGTAAACATTATAAACAGTATGATCGCATTTAAATAATTAAAATATAATTTGTGATAATTAAATTTTATGACAATGAGATGAAAATTTCTACAATATTTAAAATTTTCACGAAGTTTTACTTTCAATTAAGATGATCTTTGTAAATATAAATCAAATGCTATATTTTAATATAATAGAAGGGTTAGAAGTACGAAATAATCTAATCTTAATCTTTGCTGTTTTTATTTTTTTGCCCGAGCAACGCCGGACTCATCTGCTAGTTAAGAAGAATGCTTAATTCTTTTCGTACAAGATCATTCACATACGGGTTAAAAATTATTAGATATTATATATTAATGATTCATTTTACTTAATTAACATTATTAATAATATTACAGTATGACATGAATTACAATTATTTATTTACTAATTGCGACATCGTCACGTTACCAGGATGCAAGTTTTAATCATAGTTTATTTTATGAAATCTACTTTCTGAAATAATAAAACTTTGAATTATTTAAATACATTATGTCTCAATTTTTATGTATCATACTCTTATCAATCTCTTTTCTCGAGATTAATAAAGGATGGCCAGACAGAGACACCAAAGTAGGAATATGTAAATTGAAAATTGCATTTCAATAATAATTTAATTATTTACTCAGAAAAATTTTGATTAGAAAATAGTTCAAGCAAAATCTTCATATTTATAAGTTAGATTATCGTTATTACTTTATAAAGATTCACTAATATTTAAAAAGTTACTTTTGAAAAACTTTTTTACGTACTTTGGAGATAGATCCAGTCTCTTGTTGTATATGCTGCCGTTTCTTGTGTCTATTTAAACTATATTTATATCTGAATTTCATCTTACAAATATCGCATGAATATTGCTTTTCATTTGAATGAGAAAGCATGTGTTGTTTTAAAGCAGATGGAAGTATAAAACTTTTAGGACAGGTGTTACATCGATACTTTCTTTCTTTTGTGTCTTTTGACTGTTTCTAATAATGAAACGTTTTGTTATTTAGCTATTTATTATATATGGAAAACAAAAATTGAATTCTAATATTTAAAAAAAATGTTTAATTTTTACATTTATGAATTTTTCTTATTTCAAAAAATTTTGAATGCTTATAAAATTTTCATAATTAATGTCTATGATTTATTTAAGTGCGATGACATTGAAATTTATAACAAAATCCAGTTTTTATCATATATTAAAACCTACAAAATCATAAACGGAAATGTTTTTTTCTTTCTAGAAGTTTCAAATTTAATTATAAGAACGCAAATATAACAAGAAATTTAACTGGTAACGAGACAAAATATTAAAACTATAGAGCCTCATGCTTTTGTAGTTTTCACATTTTGTCTATATAACTCCATTATACAGATTCAGGAAAGACAGAGAGCCGCACGGACAGACTACATATGAAATTTAAAATTATAGAATTTTTCTCAAATTGCAGCCAAATTATTAAAAACTAACAAAAATGATTACGATTTATGTATTTATTATTATTTTTAACAATAAAATATCAATACAAAATTACGCTATAAAACATGCTCAAGGAAGTGAATATTTATATTTTCTTTGTGAGAGAGAATTTAGTAATTGTACTATTGATTACATTAACATATAAAAGAGACTGTACTTGAAAATTTACGTTATTCCTTTTTTACTTCATTTATATTTATTTGTATAAATGACAATAAGTTGAATTACATGTATTTTCCTTCAGGTTTTATTGTCTAATTATATTTTTCAGGAATGAAAGTTTTATTATTTGAATTGATTGACTAAATTTTGAATGTATTATATTCAAAATATAATAGCGGTTAGGAGAGAAATAATTTAATATTTTAAAACATAATAAGTATTTTTCGATGTTTTCTTAAAATATAGTGTTTCGTTTATTATTGAAAACGTAGATTATTATATTCTTGTACACTCTATCATATAATCATGTTTTATATTTTTAACAGTAAACTTTACGACTTAAATGACAAAAAATAAAGTTAAATAAAAAAATATAATTCCTAAAAATAAAAGATTATCTTTAGATAATTTTTTATTTTTAGAAATATATTTTATATTTTTTATTGATCAAAGATAATTACTTGAGATGACTTTCCTTGTGAATGTGTTTCCTTCACGTGTCTTAGCAAATTACTTTTATATTTAGTATCAAACGTGCAGTTTGGATAATTGCATTTGAATTTTTGTCCTTCTGAATGTACTCTTTTGTGATTTATTAAAATTCCAGAGTTTGAAAATCGTATTCCGCAAATATTGCAAACAAACGGTCTCTCTCCCGTATGAATTCTTATATGATTTTCCAAAATATGTTTATATTTAAATCTTTTCCCACACGTATTGCATTGATATATCTTTTCTTCATCCTTTTTAAATATAGCGTTATGTCTTTATTAAAAGTTATTAATTTTTCTAATTATTATCGTAAATAATTTTTATTTATAAAATCATAGCGAAAAATACACATATTTTACTATTATGATATTACAATTCTAAATTTTTCTGTTGTCACAATTTCGAATAAAAACGTTCGCTATATATAACTAATGATTTGCAGAATGAATTGAAATGAAACTTTCACTTACCTCGTTTGATTTCATTTAAAGTATTAATGCTCTAAATTCTATAATTCAGTTCATAAATTTTGACGAGATGAAAGAGCAACAATGCAATAAAATAATGTGAGATTCAGCAATTGTTTTATGAAATTATTTTATTGTGCACGATTGTTAGCATAAAAAACTATGAAAAGCAGATAAAATTCTTCTTTGAAATTATCGAACGTATAGTGAAAAGAACGAAGCAGTTTGCAATGGTTTTCATAAATTATTGTTTGGATATTTCTAGATATGCCTGACGTAGGTTGTGCAAAAAGAATTTCATCCAAAGAACTTTATGCAAAACATTGAATATACTGTGGATTAAAATAAAGCACTTGATTTCACCCAGAACATTTGGCACTATTTATGATTAATAAAAAAAGGTTATATACGTTTGAATTGTGTTCATTGACATCGTGTGTTCATATTGAAATTAGCTAATTTTTCAAGAAATTCATTAAAACAAAAATTGATAAAATAGTCAGCTTTAATAATAACAGAGAGAAAACATCCTCCAGGAGTTCCGTTTTTTTTCAATAATCAGATATATCATTGTTTGTCTTTATACAGTCTTTAATTTAACTATAACATCACTGGTATCAGGACTGAAACTTGTTAAAATAGTCTTGTTTTATAGCGGCTATTATCTTTCTTGTTTCGATTTTTAAAATCATGTCTTTGTTATTGCTGTAAACTGGATAATTAAAAATGAGGTATAATATTTCTTATAACTCGGTAGAACATCAGCACTTTTTGAAGTTCCATTTAAATGGTTGTTTTTACGAATAGACTTTTTCATAATTTGTTAAAATTTCAAGTTGCAAAATTGTTTACAAATGTTGCAGGAAAAATACATTTTTGCTAGTATGAACTTTCATGCAATTATGAGAATAGTGTTATTCCAATTTTTGTAAATTCAGAGAATTAATACTCTATTATTTCTTTATTTTTTTAATATTTAAAAATAAACTTATTATAAATTATAAAGTTTTTACTAATTATTATTCGAAGTATACACTAACATTTAACATTGAATTTTAGATTATTGCAATCACATTGCAATATTCAACGATTTAATTTGACTGTCAGGTGAATATTGTATCTACATGGAAAAATTCAATGTAAGTCAGATGGAAATGGCACAGCCAGTCTTATTTCAGATGACACCACTGTCTTAGGAGTTATAGTGTTATAAAATTACGTTTGTTTTCTATAGCCTTTCTGCTTTTTACTGCTTAATTTCATTAAATGTTTTAATTAAGTTAATAACGTTGAAAATACATAACAAATACTAAAAATATGTTCACTACTGGTCATATCCAATCACCAAGAACAACTGTTCTCCACAGCAGAGACGACCTTTCTTTAGAGGCTACGCCTCTGCTAAAATATGTAAAACAGTCAAGTCCACAAGTCACAATTCCAACATATTTATAAATATAGCATTTCTTTCTAAAAAGGGCTGGTGAAATTACAGTTTAATAACGTTAAAAATATGTAACAGATAATGTTATTATCTGTTACATAATTTCGCCAGCTATTTTTACATATTACAAAGAATGTAATAAAAATTTCAACAACTACAATATTACTATTTTCACTGACAGCAAGGCCACGGCTCAAATCTTGACTAGCAAATATATCACTCATCACCTTGCTAGGGACACTTTGTTCTCTGCAGATCAGTCCAGTAATAATCATATTAAATGGATTAAAAACACCTTACTTCCTATTTACGAGTTAACTCGTCAAGTTTACATATCCTTACATAAAACTCGGTCCTTTCGGCCCCCCCAAAAATTCTTTGCTTGTTTTTAATTTTTGGAATGTTTTTTAGGTCCACAAATTTTTGCAAAAATTTTTGCCTGCGCGAAAACATTTTATCGCAATTTTAATTAGCCTTTGATAAGGCTCGATTAAGGCTTGATAGTTTTTTAATGAGATTTTTTATCAAAATTAATTATTCGTTCTAAAGTTGTAGTGCATGGATTTTCCATCGGTAAAGTTATTTAAAGGTAGTTTCTGATGTCAAAAACAACCTCCAAAAGTTTTTAAATTTTTTTAATTAATAGATTTTATTATATATCAATTTAATTAATTATGGGGGGTCGGAAATCGCGATAAAATTTGTAATTTTTTAAAAATATTTAAAAATATACGCCTAATTACTAGTCACCCTACTTTAAACTCTTGTCTTCCTGGGACGTCTATGAGAATGCCCCGGGAAATCCGACTCCAGCTGTTCTCAAGGTCAATCTGTAAAATTTGACACTGAGGAGTCATTGTTTACACAGCTGGATAGCTGTGTAAACAATGACTCATCAGTGTCAAATTTTACAGAAAGACCAGACAAAGGAAAATAAAATTTGAAGCTTTTTCTTCAAAATCAACGCATTTCTTTCGTTTTTTTCAGTTTTAAGTATTTTTTATGTTTAATTATAATTAATTAAAAATGGGCACTGCAGCACTCCAGGTAACGAACGTGCAAACTTCCTCGCACGTGTGGCTACCTCCTTCAGGGACATCAACCCTGTGTACAGCCGTTTACTGGTCTCCAGGTTAAGGCAACTCCTCTGGCAACATATAATCGTAGCGTGGCAACAAGAATGGGAGCATATTCCAGAGCAGCACATTTCCCGGCAGTTCTTCCCAGACATAGCAAGACGCCTGAGCTGGAAATGGGTCCACCCTCAGCACCAGATGTCACTCACAGATGCTTTCAGAACATGGTAAATTTAATGTCTACTTACACCATCTACTTACTTTCTATACAATGACTACTGTCCAAACTGTGGTGGGCGTGATGGGGTAATGCATTTTCTTTTGTCTTGCCCACTGCAGGAGGATATAAGGCTCAAACTTTATGTTGAAGAAGATAACCTCAATTCGCTGTGTAAGCTGGAAATTTTAGTGTCGAGTAAAAAGTACTTTTCCTTTTTTCAAAGGATGGTCAAGCTTTACCTTAACAAAACATTAATACATTGATAAAGGTTTTACACACTTTTCGTTTCTTTGTATTGCTGAAGATCTTATATTATCCTTATGCCTTTTGTACTGTGCATTATCTCTATGTCTGTTACTGTGCAAGGTCTGTACATCATTTTCGCCCTGGCGTCCGTGTTCATGCGTGGTTTCATTTGTTTTGTTCAGGCCTTCATCAATGTACTTTCATTGTGTGTCTAAGTTGCACTAGCGTTGTACAGGTACTGTATCCTCCCATACTGTACATACGCAAGCGTTTTGTTTTGATTAACTTCAATGCAAACTGCAATGTCTTCGGTTTCGTGTTTTACCACATAACTCGGGACGTCATGATTTTATATTTATGTGTATTTTGCTTTTTCTTTCTTTTACGCCCACTGTCGGTTTTCCTGCTCGGCATGTCATCTTTATGTACACCCTGTAGATATTCATCCCGACTGTGCCTAGCGGAGTCAGGCATAATATAGTTTATTTTGTCTGTCAACCTATTTGAAGTTTAATAACCCGTGTGCTTTTCGAGAAAAAATTCTAAAATTTTACAGGGAAATTTGTGTATTAGAGGATTGTTACTATTTAATTTTGGTGATTAAAGCTCAAGGGGTGTGGAGATAAAGAGAGGATCGTGTGTCATTTTTCTTGTAGGGTTGGACGTATTCGCGATTTAATTTGTTATTAGCATGTACAAATTTATATAAAACTCATCCATATCCTGAAAATTCAGCGTTTTTTCCATTTTATTACAATTCAAAATATAAAAAGTGCTTTTATTAAAGTATTATAACAAATGTAACCACATGCATTTTTGAATGTTGTCAGAGAAGTTTCGCGACTCGTTGCCGAATTTTTTCAAAGTAATAATTACTTGATTGTTTGATAAATTTTCCTTAAAAATCACAATCTGTTACTTTTCATAATGATTTTTAATACGATTGTCTGTCAGAATATTCTACAAATTTTAAATTTCAAATCATTTTAAATGTTAAATTTTGAAGAAACCATTTCGTTTACTCCCAAAGGAACAAACTTTTAAATTTGAATCAGGTGAAGCAAGCTTTTTAAAAATTAAAGTATTCAATCTTGATCATTTAATGTTCATTGTTTTGAAGTTGATGGTTTTTCCAAATTTGAAGTATTTTCTTCCTCTGTCTCCACTCTCCTACTCATCTGCAGAAGAATTTCGGCAGCGTTTAACACGTCTTTATCCTCTGTTCTTTCACCCGCCAACGTTTCGCTTCTTCATTTCTGACGTCGGCGATACCCGGCGCAGATTAGTAAGTAGTTAGTAAATACGCCAAGGCGTTACTAGGGAAAGTTAGTACCCAGAGTGGTTTCCCGTTGCCTTCTCTGGGGCGCGATGTTACTCGAGGGGAACTAATGCCTTCCGGGAGGACTTTTATGGGGAACTGGCCTCCTATTTAGTCGTTATCGGCAAGGAGAAAACCCGAAAAACTCCAAGCAGCCAGCCTGTCCGATCGCGGCGCGAACCCACGACCGAACTACCAGTGTTTAGGCTACGACGACCACTCGGCCACTGGTGGGCTCAACGTTTCATTATAGAACTGCAAATTTGATAAAAATATATAAAATATTTCAGCCGAGACATAAGTACTTGGACAAACTGTATAAACGTTTTTCTTTTGTCTTTCGAATGTCTACAGAAAAAAAAACAGAAATATTTTCTCTATGTGAAATTGTTATTTTTGTAGGCGTTCGAAGGGTCAACAAGAAAAAGGACACTTATACAGGTAGTCCAAGAAGTTTCACAAAAATTTTTTTTGTGAATTTTTTAAGGTTACTGCAAATTTGATTTTACCTTTACTTCATCCGAAGAATCAACTCTCTTCGATACATCTACTTCTAAACGTTGCTTCAAAAATAAAAGTATTGTTATATAACACAATTTGATAATAAATCAATTTATATTACTTTATACATTCTATAATAATAACAAAAGTCAAACATAATACGAATTTATCGGCCATTAGTTAGGTTTATCATAAATCTGAGCTATACAGTGTGGATGAAAACTAATGGTCACAACTGTAAGCTGTGATAGACTTTTCCAAAACAAACAATTTTCACAATGCAATGTGGGGTCAGAAAGCAAATGGCGTGTCAGTTCTCCGTGAATG